TGGCCACTGACTTACACTGAAGGACTGAAAGCAAACATGCATGATGTAACTCAGAGCAATGACAGTCCTGCTGTAAACATGAAAAGGTTTCATAGAGTTGCTAGACTGGTGCAGATCTTTTATTATTTTTATGATACTTTGCACCAAACCTCATTGTAAAAACTGAAAGCTTTGATCATTAATGCAGCTGATAAGAGAGGTAGGGGGGTATTACAGATTTTTTTCAGACTCCATATTTCCTTTCTGATACCTCTTTCGTAGCTTTACGTGATTTTCAGGTTAAAAAAACCCCTCAAATTTCTCACAGCAGTGTATCAAAATGTCATTATTTTAGCCTCCTTCTGAAACTCTTCCTTTCTTTTGACTGGCCACCTCTCCAGAAGCCAGCCGAGGGCAGAGCTTTAGTCCCACTCCCTCTATTATGGTCAATCAGCCGAGCGGTGGAGCAGTGTTATCCCCAATAGACATCATATACTGTATGTCCGTATGTATGTATGTATGTATGTATGTATATATGTATCAATCTATGTATCAGTCGATGTATCTCTCTCTCTCTCTCTATATATATATATATATATATATATATATATATATATATATATATATAAAGTATTCATACCACTTCACTTTTTCCACATTTTGTTATGTTACAGCTTTATTCTTAAATGGATTAAATTCCTTTTTTCCCTCAAAAATTCTACACAAAATACCCCATAATGACAAAGTGAAAAACCTTTTTAGAACATTTTGCAAATTTATTAAAAATAAGACACTCAAATGTTGCATATACATAAGTATTCACATCCTTTGCTATAAAACTCAAAATTGAGCTCAGGTGCATCCTGTTTCCACTGATCAGCCTTGAAATGTTCCTCCAACTTGATTGCAGTCCACCTGCAGCAAATTCAGCTGATTGGACATGATTTGGAAAGCCACACCTGTCTATAAAAGATCCCACAGCTGACAGAGCACGTCAGAGCACAAACTAAGCCATGAAGTCGAAAGAATTGTCTGTAGACCTCCGAAACAGGGTTGTATTGGCGCACAGATCTGGGGAAGGTTACAGAAAAATATCTGCTGCATTGAAGATTCCAAAAAGCACAGTGGTCTTCATCATTAAGAAATTGAAAACGTTTGGAACCACCAGGACTCTTCCTAGAGCTGGCCGCCCAGCAAGCGGGGGAGAAGGGCCTTGGTCACACGGCCGAGAAGACAAAGGAGTGGCTTCAGGACAAGTCTCTGAATGTCCTGAGAGAGACCAGACTTGAACCCGATTGAACATCTTTGGAAAGACCTGAAAGTAGCTGTGCACCGACGCTGCCCATCCAAACTCACTGAGCTTGAGAGGATGTGCAAGGAAGAATGGGGAAAAACTCCCCAAATCCAGGTGTGCCAAGCTTGTTGCATCATACACAAGAAGACTGGAGGCTGTAATCGCTGCCAAAGGTGCTTCGACCAAGTATTGAGTAAAGGGTGTGAATACTTATGTATGTGCAACATTTGAGTGTTCTTATTTTTAATAAATTCGCAAAAGGTTCTAAAAAAAGTTTTTCACTTTGTCATTATGTGGTATTTTGTGTAGAATATTTGAGGGTAAAAGGGAATTTAATCCATTTTGGAATAAGGCTGTAACATAACAAAATTTGGAAAAGTGAAGTGGTATAAATACTTTCCGGATGCACTTTATATACAGTATATATATATATATATGTGTGTGTGTGTGTATGTGTCAAGATTAATATTTCTTTCTACTATTTTTGCATAAATCTGTTGCGCAACTTCAGTTGAAAAAAATCAGGATTTAAACCCTTTAAGTGTGGATTTAGAAGTCATTGGTTTTAGGAGGGGAAAAATACACAAAATTACCTGCTTTTAATACAAGAAGTGATTGATAAAAGTGAGTGATAAAATGTAAAAAAAATTTACCTGCTGTCACAGTCTCGGATATGTCAAAGATTTGTGACATAATTGGTTTTGATGCATATTTAGTTTTTGTGCAGCAACAGATTTTCAAAAAAACTTCCTTTCACGGTATTAGGGGATGTTTACAGCCACTAATTTTGACTGCTGTAAATATATATCAGATATTTTTTTCAATTTTTTTGCATAAATCTGTTAATCAACCTCAGTCTTCATCAAAACTAGCAAATATTTTTTTTTAAATTCAAAGTTTTAACCCTTTGAATGCCAATTTTAAAAAGAGTCACTAACATGGGGAAAAATACACACAAAATGAGCCATTTTTAAATATAAAAAGTGATTGGACAAATAGTTTTTTTGTTTTTTTTTACTTGCTATCACACTCCTGGATATGTCAAAGGTTAGTAACATAATTGTTTTTAATGCATATTTAGTTTCTGAGCAGCATCAGATTTAAAAAAAAAAACTTCTAGCGGTATTAGTGGCTGTTTTTGCCCCATTGACATCCATTATAACCACATGTTTTGAATGCAGAAACATGGCACTATATAAATATAATTTTTACAGTCAGTGTTTTCAACCCTGTTCAGAAGGGATCAATTTAGGTAAATTTACTGTTGATCACCTGGTTCACCCATTTAGCCATTACATAGGCCTGTTGTATTACTAGCCTAGTTTTTGTATCTGTATAATGGTGTTTATGAGCATATTTTTGTGTGTTGGATGGGGAGCACAGTGTTAAAATAGAGGGTATGTAACTGCTGGACTGACCTCAGAAGTATATGCTCAATTAGGTGTGTGACCTTTGTGCACTGACCTTGATATGGCCAAAAATATCAAAACATGCACCCCAGCTCCCAGAACGACAAACAGTCTACATACAGTAAACAGAAACAAAGTGTAAGTTTGAGGTGGCCTTTTTATCTTGAAAAGAGGAGCCTTGGCACTCAGAAGTTCAAAGAGTCTACATAGAGTAAACATAAACAAGGTAAGTCTACATAAGCACGTCCATGAGGTCCTGGTTGCCATTTGCTAGCGAGAGGAGCTGGAGAGACCATGGAGAGGCACTTCAGCAACAGAGAGGCCCTAGAAATGGTTCTTGAGAGTACTTTTACTGCTCAGAGGCCTGTACTATGAAGCTGGATTTAATCTTAGTGAGATAACTTTTGGATGACTCCTGGGTTTTCTTTACAACAAAGGTGGATTTCTCTCTATCTGGGTCCGTTGCCCCGGTAACTTATGCAGAATGCCAAACCTGCTCCGGAACAGGTTATGTTTGAGGATAAGAGCTCATCAGGTATAAAAGACCGCCCACTGACCTTTCGGATTTCTTGGAAAATGCCTTGTACACTTTTGCCAGATCCCGTGGACATCGATGCACAGATATTGAGAGGAGCGCTTCGCTGAGAGTGTTATATTTGTGGCCGTTCAAATCCGTTTGATTTACCTGATGATGTTCTCTATGAACATTACAGATTTTGCTTGGACAGCCTCAACATTCAGGTAGCATGACGTCTAAGCAATGCACTAATATTTGCCAAGCTCCAAGTTCCAGTTTCATGCGGCATATCAGTCATCATTTAGAATTTATTGAAGCAGATTAGAAAACTCATCTTAACCCCAAATGTGTCTGCAGATGACATGTGACCACCAGATGATAGAGAAAAAAGAAAAAAAGCTCCTCAACAAGGCAGTTTGAGGAAATCACTGTTTACATGTTGAGATATGTACAAATAAAACCTTCCAATAAAGCTATTAACCACTTTGAAGGATGTTTTTTTATATTTGATTTTTATTTGCTCCACATCCGCTTTTCCCCACTGCTGTTGCATCTGAAATAATAAGGTCCATGATGATGGTGATCAAATACACTGCATGACAACATATGTGGGGACCATAAATTTATGAACGCACAAATGTAATTCACACAATGGGTCATTTTTTGCCGGTGGTCCCTCAGGCTTCTAGCGGCTGCAGCTGTCTTGTTTCTCGCTGTTATAATGTCACGGTACTCCTTGTATTTGCGTTAAACAATGCTCTGTTCCTCAGCCATGAAGTATGACGCACAGCCTTCTCCATTGTGGAGATTGGTCTGGTGGTAATGACCCCGTCCTGAAATATGACGCAAAGCCATTCTCCATTGTGGACATTGGTCTGGTGACACTGACCCCGCCTCCTTTACATTTGCACGCACAGATCTAAACTGGCCACATCTGGTTTCAGTTAGTGAGTTGATATCCTGCCTCATAGTACAGCTGATAGGGATTACAGAGATCTGGTGAAGTTGAGTGAGTTGTGGCAGTTATCTTGGGTGTGTTAATCAAGCTTTGTAGTACAGTACCTGCTAAAGGGTAGTAAATTTGCTGAGAGTGTACTATTGACCTTCTGAAAATTTTGAAATCATATTTTCAAATTGTATGCAAAATGAAGGTGTGTCAGCAAAAATCATGCCATTTGTTGCAACACAGTGAAAGTTATGGTCAAATTAAGAGGAAAAAGTAACCCTTAGTGGACGTTTTTGTCAACAATACTGCATAAAGGTTAATGACTATGGTTACCCTGCTCTGTGTGGGTGTCACTTTACACGCTGTTGGAGGCAGGACTTTCCCGTCTCGATCAGTGGTTTCAGTGGTTTCAGTGATGAACCCCCTTTAAAATATTCCTTCAGCCAAGAACCCCTTACAAGTGCAAAAAACATAGTCCCATTTCTGTATCAATTTGATCTATTCTATGTCATTAAACAAAGAAAACATTTTTAATGTATCTGCTGCGAGATTTTAGCAGCTTACATATATTTTCTAAGATTATGACAACATGTATGTGTATTTTATTATTCAAGACTTTGCATAAATGTAGTATGGAAACCAAACTTTGTAACTTTGCAGTTAATATTCTTTTGGCTGGACTGTTTCCAAAAAACATACAAGACAGAACAATGAAAAAACTAGAAAATTCCCTTTGGGAAATTTTGAAAGGGCCACAGGGGCTGCTACCAGGGTGCGTACACTATGGTGAGATTCTTCAGAGATTTCAAATAATTAATACTAGTAGCACATTAATACTAGTAACAGGGGTGCAGGCTGATGTGACAGTAGACTTAGGACAGTGATGATCTTCCATGTTGTCTGCAAATAGTCACAGGCACACACAAAAAATATCTGTAAGACACCAACACGAGTCCAGTCAAGTTTGACTCATCAAGATACAGTATAGTCTTGAGAGCTCTACTTATCGGTAACTTCCTCGTACTTGTTGCCTGTTGGGTTGCTGTCTTTAGCTGTGGTCCTCTGTTCTTTTTCCTGGATCTCTGGTCATCATTCCTTTATAGACAAACAAATCATTAGGTCAAGTTACTTTGCATTTAAATCCTTCTAAGAGAGAAAGAGAAATTGAGATACCTACTTTGTGATGGAGGAGGTTGCCACCAGCCTGAGGCTCACAGGTTGCCATTGCCACTTGAGCTGGTTGCCTATGACAATCGATGCATCACAGGTTGAGGCAGTCAAAATGTCAAGAAAAAGAGTGATTTATTGCCTTGACACTTGTCTGACATTTGGGCTTATTCCGACAAAACAATAGCTTCTATCAGAAAAAAAAGCAAACCATTATCATCATAAGGACTTCCTGGATGCTTTGATATGATTTTGATGTTTCTACAGGTCAGGTTTTGGAAATCCTTGCAAGTTATAAACAGGAGTCCCTCTTGCTACTTTTAGAAAATCGTTGTATTAGCATCAATAAGGAGCAGGGAGAGACATGCCTCACTGACAGGCTAAGTGTTAAAATTCTCTAAGTCTATCTGCTTAGATGAACATATCGTTAGAGAGAACAAGTGTGTCTTCAACTGTAGAAAAAAAATATGCATGTAAAGTGTAATTTGTGGCCAGAAGGAGTGTGAAAAGAGAACATTTTTAGACAACTTCATGCAACTTCTGTCCCTCTAGCCAATAATGTCAGCCACTCTGACATGAACATACAGTTGACTGTATATAGAATGGACCACGTGGCTCCGCCTCCTGTCATTGTGCAAATTTAAAGCCAAAGTGCTCTTGGTATTTCCATGATTTTTTCTATTTCCTGTAAATGGAATTTGCACAGTAGCATTCAACGAGAGAATTGTTCAAACAGTGTATCCCCCGGATGATCTACACAATCTGCATACACTCAAAGGCTGTATCAAGTGTCAATCATAGAAAAAAAGGCCCCTAATAACTTTTAAAATTGGAGCTGCACAGAAAAAAGAGAACTTGAGCACAAACCAGTCCTACATGTAAACAACTAACCAGGGGAAAGAAAAATGTATATTCCATGTAATTAATTTCTAAAGTGTGTCCACAGCTACCTAGGAATTGCTGGAAGAGGCAAGATTTATGACCTATACTGCAGCCCATCACCAGGATTTGCTGTTGTCACAGAGGCTTTACCCAGTGAGGAGGCAGAGGACGTCCACTCTATACACAGTCTATGGGCACTAAGATTCCTCCCATTGCACACCCATTATAATCTCAAAATTTCTCCAAAAATGATCATGGTCATTGAACAGTGACTGGTCAAAAACTACGATACTTAATCAATCACGAATTTAAACACCTATAGATAAGACTTGTGTATACATTTTAAAGTTTAAATGAAGTCTGTAGGTCAGGGGTCAGCAACCTGCGGCCCGGAGCCGCATGTGGCTCTTTAATCCCTCTGCTGCAGCTACCTGTGAATTTGGAAAATACAATAGATTAAATAATATTCAATTATAAGTCATTTTATTTTAGTTAGGTTTTTTTTTTTCAATTCTAAATTCTAAGATTATACTGCTCTTGTAACATTAAATAAACCATATTTAATTTTTTTGTTGCTCAAAATATGCATCATAACTGCCAACTTGCGAAAACAGAAAACCTGTGTGAAGATGAAGGTGAGGTCATACAGCCCTGTCCTGGAGAAGCTGTGCTCTGAGGTTCAGGAGCGAAAGTCACATTAAGCAAGTAAATGTAATATTTTAATCAGCCATTATTTTGCAAATATATATCTTGCATTGTTCAATATTTTTATTTTTTATTTTTTAATTATGGTTGACAGCCGACTGTACACTCCAGTATGCAGTTAAATGATGACGGCAGACAGAAGCAGACAGCATTTTTGGTTTGCTGCACGTGGCAAGTTCAAATTCTGATGTCGTAAATAGGAAGAGGACTCAATTAGAAATGAACTTTTTTTTTTTAAAGCAATCCAACCCAGCATCTTTTTTGTTAAGGTTTTTTCAAACTGTTCAAAATATTTTTGTTTGCCTGCAAAAAATAAAATTTCATTTTCTTGGCAGCAGTTTATTGATTCCATGAATGTAACACACTAAAGTTTTTCATATACTTTGCATGAAGGGGGAAAAAATGATGGATGCAGTGTTATCTTCATTTTAGATGTAGATGAATTTTGTGACTCTGTGGGCTCTATTTTCGTGCCTCGCTGGCGACGCGGCACATGCGCGGCGTAAGTCAGGTCTGCCGCGCCGACAAGGCATTCCCAAGCACAATTTGGTATTTTGGTGAGCGGCGCAGCTCGGCCTAAGTATCCCCCCTCCCTAACTCAGTTCCTCCCAGTAAGTTGTAGGAAGGGAGGAGAGAGGGCATGGAGTGGGGTTAACACAGCTGAGACCTGTTTTCACTAATAACATCAGCTCCTCTCCTCACCTTTAAATCCGCCATCGGCGAGGCATATTCCAATTTTCTTGAAGTAGTGAAAGAGATCAACAGATGTCTGAAGACAGCAATGCCACACGATGGCGACAGAAGGCAGCCCCTCAACAAGTGTTGCTGTATGCGCTGCAGAGGGTCTCCTCCACACTCTCTCATATGAGCACAGATGGATTTGGTGCGTGTAATGTTGGACACACTGGTAAGACAAACACCCTTTTCCACAAATAAAGACAAGCACATAAAGTTGCACATATTTAAACCTCACATGAAAAAGGTGGGTTGTGCGCACAGATCACAACATAAATTCCAAAAATGGCATTGAAATCTGAACCATTTGTGCGTAAAAGCTGGGCAGATAACTGTAATAATCGTTCACTTGCGGATAAAAGCACCATAATTGGCACACATACTTCTTAGAAGTTGCTCTTTTGATATTTCCGTCTGGCCAAATGAAAATTCAAGATGGCGGCTATTTTTCAAGATGGCCACCATTGAAAATACAGTAATATTGCATTTTGCAATAAAATCCCATAGACTTGTCCTATTTGGATGAACATTTTCCATTATGCAGAATCCAAATTTGGACCCATGGACTTACTTACTGGCTTCCTTGTACCATATTTCAGTCCTGGAATCCTAATATTCTGATCCTAGTTAGGTCTACATCATGTGAGACTCGAGTAAAATGGTTGGTAGCCTATATCTTAGTGTTGTTAGAGGTCTAGTTCGTGTGTGTGTGTGTGTGTGTGTGTGTGTGTGTGTGTGTGTGTGTGTGTGGGGGGGGGTTCAAGGAGGGCAAGGGCGTGGGCAAGGGTGTGTCCTCACTGCACATATCAGTCCCAGAATCCTAATATTCTGATAATTTAGAATTTCACCTAAAATGCATGGTAGCACCATGGGATCACTTTTTGTCTGGTCTCTATCCTTCGAGCTGTTTGGCGTGGGTGACCCTGCCAGGAGTACAATACTCCAGCCGGCATAGCTCTAGGGGTCATGGAGACACACAAAGTGCCCCACCACGATAAGGTGGTGATCCTACCGAGGCAGGGTTTTTTTGTTTGTTTTTTTTTTTACATGTAGGCTTTTTGGATGAGTAGGCTTTTACTACAGCGTTTCTAAACCTCACACCTGCAGCTGCACAGTGCTGTGCAGGTCAGACCAAAGCAGTAGAATTTGCATCGACCACAGCATTCAAACTTGCATCCACACTTGGCCAGCTGCTGGCAACTCTCTGCAATGGGTGGGAGCTCTGTCCAAACAATCTGCCACAGATCTCCTTTCTTGTTCCAGCCCCAGTTGGCAGGACTATGTGTTTCTGGTTGACATACTATTGACTGACTCCAGATGCAGCCCGCTTGGTAGGATGCACGCATGACATATTGCTTAAGTGCTGATCGAGTTGGAGGAGTGGCTTCGTACGGCCTCTGCTTCCGAGCAAACATGTCCAACCTTGCATCGTCGACACCTTCAGCTGTGCTGGATCTGTCGTACAACATGTACACAAACTTCTCTAGGGTTTTCAGGTCCTCATCATCCAATACAGGTGGGTAATGGCTGAGTTTGCTGAAGACACTGGAAGCCTCATCACAAACATTCCAGGTTTGCCAAGCAGACTTCTTCCCTTTGCCACGGAATGCTGAAACAACATCGCAACCAGTGAATGCATGGAAGAAGAGCATCCCTTTGCTCTTTTCTGCAAGAGTGCCACACAGGTCATGAACAGGAATCCACTTCAGGTTCTGTCTTTGGCCAAAGGCAACCCACAACTGCTGCAGACCGAGGTTCTGAAGTGCCTGCAGAACACTCACTGCGATGACAACAACATCTGTGTCGTTGGCTTTGACCATGATGACCTTGCTGCCTGCTTCTGTGGCATGCCTGGCATGCACAAAGATCTGGGTGTCAGCTTCTTCATGACTGCATGGTGCCACCCCAGCCAGATTAATAGTAATGTTGTAAGAAAGTGTATGTGCGAGTGAGAAGTGTTGCCTAATAATTAAGTGAGATGTAATGCAGGCAGGTCAAGCATTTTTCTTTTTTGGATTTTTTTACACTCAGACACATTTAATCAGTCTCTCTCTCTCTCTCTCTCTCACACACACACACACACACACACACACACACACACACACACACACACACACACACACACACACACTAAACCTCTAACAACATTAAGATATACACTCACCGGCCACTTTATTGGGTACACCTGTCCAACTGCTCGTTAACACTTAATTTCTAATCAGCCAATCACATGGCGGCAACTTAGTGCATTTAGGCATGTAGACATGGTCAAGACAATCTCCTGCAGTTCAAACCGAGCATCAGTATGGGGAAGAAAGGTGATTTGAGTGACTTTGAACGTGGAATGGTTGTTGGTGCCAGAAGGGCTGGTCTGAGTATTTCAGAAACTGCTGATCTACTGGGATTTTCACGCACAACCATCTCTAGGGTTTACAGAGAATGGTCCGAAAAAGAAAAAATATCCAGTGAGCGGCAGTTCTGTGGGCGGAAATGCCTTGTTGATGCCAGAGGTCAGAGGAGAATGGCCAGACTGGTTCGAGCTGATAGAAAGGCAACAGTGACTCAAATAACCACCCATTACAACCAAGGTAGGCAGAAGAGCATCTCTGAACGCACAGTACGTTGAACTTTGAGGCAGATGGGCTACAGCAGCAGAAGACCACGCCGGGTGCCACTCCTTTCAGCTAAGAACAGGAAACTGAGGCTACAATTTGCACAAGCTCATCGAAATTGGACAATAGAAGATTGGAAAAACGTTGCCTGGTCTGATGAGTCTCGATTTCTGCTGCGACATTCGGATGGTAGGGTCAGAATTTGGCGTCAACAACATGAAAGCATGGATCCATCCTGCCTTGTATCAACGGTTCAGGCTGGTGGTGGTGGTGTCATGGTGTGGGGAATATTTTCTTGGCACTCTTTGGGCCCCTTGGTACCAATTGAGCATCGTTGCAACGCCACAGCCTACCTGAGTATTGTTGCTGACCATGTACATCCCTTTATGACCACAATGTACCCAACTTCTGATGGCTACTTTCAGCAGGATAATGCGCCATGTCATAAAGCTGGAATCATCTCAGACTGGTTTCTTGAACATGACAATGAGTTCACTGTACTCAAATGGCCTCCACAGTCACCAGATCTCAATCCAATAGAGCATCTTTGGGATGTGGTGGAACGGGAGATTCGCATCATGGATGTGCAGCCGACAAATCTGCGGCAACTGTGTGATGCCATCATGTCAATATGGACCAAGCTCTCTGAGGAATGCTTCCAGCACCTTGTTGAATCTATGCCACGAAGAATTGAGGTAGTTCTGAAGGCAAAAGGGGGTCCAACCCGTTACTAGCATGGTGTACCTAATAAAGTGGCCGGTGAGTGTATGTTACCAACCATTTTACCCAAGTCGGACATAATGTAAACCTCATAAATACCAGAATATTAGGATTCTGGGACTTAAATATGGTACAAGGAAGCCAGTAAGTAAGTCCATGGGTCCAAATTTGGATTCTGCATAGTGGAAAATGTCTGATTTGACACCAAGATCATCCAAATAGGACAAGTCTATAGGATTTTATTGCAAAATGCAATATTACTGTATTTTCAATGGTGGCCATCTTGAAAAATGGCCGCCATCTTGAATGTTCATTTGGCCAGACGGAAATATCAAAAGAGCAATTCCTAAGGAGTATGTGTGCCAATTTTGGTGCTTTTATCCGCAAGTGAACGATTCTTCTGTAATATGCTATTATCCGCCCCGCAATAATGACGCATCGCGCTCTGTAGCCTGGCTCTTTCTTTCATAGATGTTGGCATATAAAATAAATTTGGCTCACAAAACTGAATATTATAATATTTGTATGTAGGCTTAAAGTAAATAACTCATCTAATCACTAAAATAAATCATCTGTTCAGCCGCCGCAGCAGCTGCAGCAGGACGGGGAGAGGACACGGAGATATGTCCAGGTCGAGCTGCAAGAGAAATAAGAGGAAGAGGAAGAAAGAAAAGGAGGGAGACCAATTAAATATCTTGTTAACTTCATCGTGTGTCTATGTACTAGATATTTAATTGAATTTAATGCGGTTTCAGCTGTGTTGATTTAGTCAGGTTGTGTGTCCAAACGCGCTGGTGACGTATGCCGATACGCCGCCGGTCTACCAAAATATCTTTAGACCAGCTGTGCTCCGCCTGCACTGAAAGCTGACCAGGTTTGAATCAGCAAGCTTTCAGCGCACTTTTCATGCCGGCGGCGAGCACGAAAATGTCACTGCGCCAGCTGATTCTGTGGACACCTTCCCCTGCCACACCACCACGCCCAGCTTGGCGGACATTGGTGTGCCTCAGTCCATGAAAATACCAAACTGGCTGTATGCCGCGCTCCGCCAGACAAAAATACCACTGCGCAGGGTCCGCCACCCTCCACCGCATCCCCGGCGGACACGAGCCCTGAGTGTTTTCTTTTCTGTGGGAAACAGGTCCAAATTGCTCTTTGGGTGTTTAAGGTTGCTGACCCCTGCTCTGGGTGACAGTATGCCAGAGTAGTAGATGTTTGAAAAAATGTGTATACAGTAGAGAAAAGTAATAGCACACAGATCCTGATCAAACCATGTGTTTTGATTGATAATACGTCCTACAACTGTTCAAGCTGTTGGACTTGTAGCAAATTGAATTTTGTCTGGAAGAGGAATACGAATAAATCTACAGGTATGAACAGGTATGCAGGTATGAACAGCAGATCTGCAGCAGCTTAAGTCCTTTTCCATCAAACGTTACATTAACTTTAGTCACCTTAATAAGCAGCCAGGAGAGCCCTTAGATTTACGGTGTGCCCATTTACAAAATACAGTGTGTGTGATTACAGCCACAGATAAGATAAGCAGTTTGTTCACACACACTGCTAATGGAAAGAGGACACTCAACAACAAGATCATTAAACTGTTTACTCCACACATGACTCATTAGGGCAACACACAATCAGCTGAAACTTTACAGCGCTGAACATCTAATAAGTTCTGGTTGTTCAGTTGATGCTGTGGAGGAAGAGAGTAAGAAGCCTTGCTGCAGTTTAATATAAGCCTATGTACTGTCATTAAAACACAGTAAAATCTGTTCATTTTTAGTTTATAGCTCTGAGGTAAGAGAAATCTAAGCTACAAACATTTTGGTAGGAAAAGTGAAATTGAGACTGTGCAAAGACAAATACAGTGAATTTGAGACCTAGTGAGGACAGACCATAGACTGTATATACTATGGACAACTTGGTTCTGTCTCCCACCTGTATACGGATTTGAAGCCAAAAAACTCTCGGTATTTCCGGGATTTTTCTTCATTTCCTGAAACCAGCGCTGCGCAGTAGCGTTGTACACATTCGGCCGGAGAGTCGCTGTGATGACGCTGGGCTCAAACAGCGTATCCCTCGGGTGAGCTATGCAATCCCTGAACGCCAATAGGCTGTATCAAGTGTCAATTATAGAAAACATGAACCCCCTAATAACTTTTAAAAAAGGAGCTTCACAGAAAAAGGAGGACTTGAGCACAAACCAGTCTTACTGTAACTACATGTCAACACTGCAAGCAGGGGGGAGAAAAATGTATGCTCTGTGTAATACATTTCTAAAGTTTGTCCACAGCCCCATAAGCTTTGCTGGCGGAGGCAGGATTTATGACCTTTACTGCAGCCCATCAACAGAGGGTGCTGTTCTCGGAGTGGCTTCACCCAGCAAGGAGGCAGACGGCGTCCATTCTATATACAGTCTATGGGACAGACACAGTAAATCATCCTCAGTGGAGATATATTCAGTAAAACCGTGATTTGCAAACTGACAGATGAGGTGATAGATGAGGTATAGAGAACCTATACCTAGCATGGGAAAATTATAGTGAAATTGACACCTTCAGGAGACAGTAAATTTAAGACTCACTGATGACATACACAGGACAAAAAAGGATCTATTGATGACAGATTCAGTGAAACAGAGTACTCGGAGACAGATGCAGTGCATCTAAGACTCAGAAAAGACATACAATGAAACTGAGACTAAGCAGGGACAGATACAATGAACTTGAGACCTGGCTGAAGCAGATACAATGAAACCAAATCAGCAGAGAATTATGATGAACCTCAAACACAGTGGAGGGAAACACAGTGAATCTGAGACTCAGCAAAGACAGTTAATCTGAGACTCAGTAGTCACTTATGCAGTGAAACTGAGATTCTGTGAAGACAGTTCCAGTGAAACTCACAACCATTATAAATGCAAACAGTGGAACTTATATTTAGCATTTGCTATATGCAGTGCAATCAGGACCCCTCAAAACAGATACAATTAAGTTGAGACTCATAAAACACAATTACAATGAACCTGAGAACTGAAACTGCAACAGCAGAGAGACACAGGGAAACTGATACCTAGGAGAGACAGATACAATGTAACTGAAACAACAGAGGCAGATACAGTAAAACTGTATATGTTGAGACAGAAACAGTAAAACAGAGACCTAGCAGAGATGGATACAGTGAAATCAAAACCTAGCAGAGATAGATACAGTGAAACTGAGACCTAGCAGAGACAGATACAATGAAACTTAGACCTAGTAGAGACAGATAGAGTAGAACTGAGATCTAGCACAAACAGATACAGTGAAACTGAGATCTAGCAGAGACAGATACAGTGCAACTGAGACCTAGCAGAGACAAACACAGTAAAACTGAGACCTTGTTAGGGGCATTTACAGCAAAACTCAGACCAAGCAGAGACATAGTGGAACTGCATTTGCAGAGACAGATAAAGTGAAACAGATCGAGCTTCAGAGACAGATATAGGACAACTAAGTCCATGTAGAGACAGAAACTGTGATATTGAATCAGTAGAGGCAGATACATTAAAACTGATTCAGCAGAGACAGATACAGTAAAACCTAAACTTAGCAGAAACAAGTACAAGGACAGATACAGTGGCCCTCATTTATCAAGCTTGCGTACGGCAGAAAACTTGCGTACACCTTGCGTACGAAAATTTTGACGTGAGGATCAGCATTTATCAATCTGCACGTGAGCGTACGCTACGACCAAATCTCACGACAGGTCTGACATCATGTATGCAAGTTTGAGTCGGTGTGGATCTGCGGTGCAACAAATGTCTGTCTGAAAATAATTGATATACAAACCTCAATCCTGTCATTAAGCACAATCAGACAGATTTAATTAAAGATTAAGACGTAAATAAAATAGAATAAAATAAATTTGTTATGTCCTTAGTGAATAGACCTATTGATAACTAGCCAGTACAGTTTTGCACAATGTGGCACTGGCAAATGGAGTGTCGTTGACTGTGCTGGTGCAATGTGAGGACCCGATGCCCTGAGAACAATAATGAGGAGAGACTCCACAAAGGTGCTGTACAGAGGAGACAGGATCTTATCGATGGATTCTGACATGTAAAGTATAAGTTTAGAAAGTGCTCTTGCTATTTATTCAGTGATAAAAATAAAATAGAAATCCATAAAAATGTGCCTCTGGGGCAGCAACACACCGTTTGGTGAGGTTAATAATTATTTTTGTTCAGCCTCTGTCAGACTCTCCAGTCTGCTCTATATTACAAAGACGCAACAAATTAAAACTAAATACTTCCAATAATAGGTGCAACGTACCCTATGTCATGGCAATAAACAAATATGAGGTATGTATGAGATATTAATTTATCATCATGAGCAACTTACTAATGATTTATTCAAACTTCAGCCACTGTCCGCTATTCCGCGGCAGCGCTGTTAACTGCCACCATAATCCTGCTCCAGACAGGAGTTTTCTGGACTGCTTTTATACCAGTTTTGATACTTCCAAAAAGAAAATCCTTGTTAGTTTCCACCACAGATGCGAGGATATCCACTTTCAGCTCGGAAAAATCTCGCATCTTTGTAATATTTCTCCTCTTTCATGTTTGACCTCAGTGGGTGAGGCTTCTGAACCACAAATATTTAAATGCGTAAACACGTTAATGACGATCGATTTCAGCCACCGCATTTTTCAAGACCCGATCATACGTGTGCTGGGATTGGTCAGATACGAGCCCTTTCATAAATCTCACGTGTGTCCTATTGTACGATGAATCCTGCACTCAGATCTGTGCACAGATCTGCACAAGATTGTTAAACACTGAGACCAAGCAGAGACAGATACAGTAAAAATGAGACCTAGCAGAGTTATTTACAGTAAAACTGAGATCTAGTAGTGTTGAAGTGTTAAGTTGAAAGTGAGACATAGCAGAGACAAATACAGTGAAAATGCATCAGTGGAGACAGATACAATGAAATTTAGACCTAGCAGAGACAGACAGTGAAAATAAGGACCTTACACTGTTAGCTGTAGATCAGTCATTTTTTTGTCCTGACGTAGCTCAACCCTGTCTATAGGTACACAAATGCCTTCTCCATATGTCTGCGCTCACCACACGCCTGACACAGGAACATTTATGAATGTTTTTTCGCTGTGCTGTCCCCACTACCTCTCTGGCCTCATTGTTGTCTCTAATAAATGTCTTTTATTCAGTTTTTGCCCTTCATGAGCCTCCACTTCACTCTGGCCAACAAGCTGTTCATGAACAGATTACTGTATTTACACATATTTATGTCCGATTAGGCCTCCCTACCACACCAAAACAGGAGTTTGGAGCACTCAAACCAGATAAATCTGAATCCGAAAAAACAAGTGGAGAAATAAAAAAATATCCGTATCCCGTATCCGTAGTGGATTCGTGTGGTTGGACTTTTACGGATCGATGACGTCAAACCGCAGCTCGCGCATGCGAATTAAAAAGAAAAACAACAACAACGATGGTGGACATACAGGGTATTCTTTACGTTTGTTTTGCCCTTTTGGGGCTAATTTCAGCCTTGCAAGTGAACCTTGTTTTATACAATTACATCCACCAGTCAGCCAGCTCACAGACGCGTCTGCTGCGGCTAATACTTTTATTGGTCACATGGTCCGTCACATGGACCCGACGCACTAGCGTAGCTTCCGCAAACAATGCATGACACATCACGCTGTTACGATTCATCGGCCAATCAGGTAGCTTTGTTCCTGAATTTTTTTTAAGCGGCACCAGATAGGCTTGAGTTTGAAGGCTACGTGTGGACGCAGATATTTTTGAGAACTAACACGTGTGGACAGATACATTTATTTAGATGGGAGTACAAAAATATCCTGATAAATAAATATCTATATACATGTAGTTCGGGCCTTAATGTTTGAATGCAGGCAGCAGCTGTCCAAGAAGTAAAAGCGTAATTTTCTGGCTCTTCTGCTCTAATTTATCAAAGCAAATAAAACACCAGTTGTGTACTTACTGTTCTTTAAAAGTTAGAGCAAGGCTCCCTAAACCTTGATTGAGATGGACATAACACTTCTACACTGTTTGCTCTTAGTTGAAAGACATCACACAGTTTCTTCTCATTGATTGATCGGCTTACCATAAGATAGTGGCCATGGATTGATACAGAGTCAGGCAATAATAGTCTGCTAACACTCCGGTGTACTGTTTCAAAGGCCAGCTGTGTACGTTTGGAGCTTTACTCTGCGAAAACATCACTGTTAAAGATTTTGCAGCTTTTGTTGGACTGTTTAACCTGCAAAATTGTAAGAGAGAATATACACTGGTAAAAGTATAGATACAGCTTGCATAAAACAATAAATTCAATTTGATATCATCGTTACATTTTCACAAGACCTGTCATGCAAGACAAATTCTAAGGGTTGAAGCAAGATAAAAGTTTTGTTTGTTTGTTTGTTTGTTTGTTTGCGTGATATTCTGCAAAAAGAAAATTGTATTTTCAGGCATCATTAAATCCATAATTTAAGAGTTATTAATGTATTTTTATTAGAGTATTTCTTGCCTGTCTGTGGTTATAGGAAATCTCTCACTGGTGTTCATAGTCTTTTAAGCTTTTCAACATAAACAAGATTTTTCCGTTGTGTGAATAAACACTGACTGACAAGCTCTTGAAGATAAGGTCTGTGATGTTAAACCCACCTAGTTTTCTCTGTAGTTTTGATGTACTTTGATTTTTTTAAAGGATTTTTAAATTCAGTAACTGATACCGTGTGAAATATAGAAAACTTTGCATCCATTTTATGATAGCCTGCTGATTGTAGGATGCCTAAACCGCAAAAAAGCTTTAATTTTACTAAATTACTGTGTTTCAGTTTGAGTCTCAATATACATACACATTATAAGGTACATTAAAAAGATGTGGGTGTGTTGAGTCCTTCTTTAATTGTAAATTCCCTTTCCCTCTGTTTTAATGTACATGACTGATAAGGCTCTAGAAGTTTGATATCTTACTGAGGTTACCGCATACGTTACCCCATCATCAGTTTCCATCATAACATCAAGCAGTACCTTTGAGGGCTGAATGTTTTTTTTTTTTTTTTTGTTTGTTTGTTTTTTCACAAAGAATTCAATTAACCACAAATATCTGATAAAATCTCTGTTTTGAATAGTGGGAGCTCTGTTTATTTCCATATTTCTGCAGATTTCTGTGACCCCCATTCTATACAGTTTCATTCACACTTGGTTTAACACGGTCAGTACAGTCAAACCAGATTAAGTCTTACTGTCTCAATAATAATGTTGTACAGCTGCAATAAAAAAAATCGTAATGTAGGTAAAGTCATAGTTTTACAATATTTAAAAATGAGGTCATAATGTTAAGTGAATGTTATCAGTTGTAATGTTGCAGTAACATAGTTGTCATTTAACAAGACTAAACAATGTAGTGTTATGAAAATACAACTTCATAATGTCACAGGGATAATGTTGAAAAGTTATAAATAGGTAAAAATGACAAAATCCTAGGTATGAATACAGTCCTAATATTGAAAATATAAAATTGTAATATTGCAATAATTTGCAGGAATATAATTGTTAATGTTCCCATAATGAAGCCTGACAGTAACAGCTAAAGTAATACATATTATGATTATAAAGTCATAACTGTATAACTATTAAGTAGTAATAATCAATATGAAAGTTGAAAATATTATGAAATAAAGAAGTAAATATTATGTTTAAAAAATTAGTATATATATATATATATATATATATATATATATATAGAGAGAGAGAGAGAGAGAGAGGTGGGTTATATGTTTTCTGTGCATGAGTTATTCGCAGGACCTTAAAGAAGAAGCTGCAGGGGTATAGGTCTTTTCCCACCAATGTGTGTGTGGGTATCTGTAATTGTGTCCATACAAGCCCCTAAATAAACTATTTAACTGAAACATCAAGACTTCATTTATGAAAGCCCATGTTTTAATTGATTTAAAAATATATACATTTGAATAAAAGTTAAGTTTAATTTTTTTGGAATAAACGCGGCTGTTTGGTCACTTGGGAGTTTTCTGGTTTTATTTATTTATTTATTTATTTATTTATTTATTTATTTATTTATTTATTGGGCTGCTGAGCATCCTGTCAGGATAAAATCAGGGGCAAAATAACACACACCTCATTTAACCAGATGTCTTACTACGCGCTCGTGCTGCTCTCGCTCCGCCGTCACCTGTCACAGTCAGGGCACGCGGTTTAAAGTCACGGCTGACCCCCCCTCTACCCCACAACAACCACCCGTACCGATCCTTCATGTCTGCTGCACACTGTCTTCCTGTCACACACAAACACACTTTTACACACTGTCAAACACACACGCAGCCGCTGTTGCGCACCCGCGCAGGCCGGCACACCGGTAGGGACGTCAGGATTGGACGCAGCGGGGGATCCCCAGCATTTCGTTTCTGCCTCGCTTGGCGTATCATCATCTTTTACCGGAAGGAGATGAGCGGGTTCACACTCGCAGAGGGCAGCAGGAACACAGGACGCTCTTCGCTCGGCTCCCCGTCTCTCTTCTCTCCTCTTCCTCTCTTCCCACGTCTGTCTCTCCATCTTCGAAATCCGCTGCTGCACAGGCTGCCGGGACAGCGCGAGGAGACCGCGGAGAGCAAAGGGGAAAAGGTGCTTCACCTGCGGAGCGGTTTACTTCCGAGCAGCAGAGGAAGCTCTGGAGCGAACAGCTGCAGTGTTCGGTGAACTCTGGCAGTTTGACGGTAGTTTCTCCGCTGTAGAGGGAGGAGGACGACCGAGCCGTTCATCTTCATTTCACGTGTGCCCTGCTCTGACAGCCGCGCGCACCGAGCTGCCTTGGACATTAGATGCTCCAGCCTTTTTTCCTTTCCCACATGCGAGAAAACGCATTTTAGACACACTCAATCCGTGACTGAAGGACGGAAACACGCGTCTTCGTTCCCCCCAGACTTCAGCTCATCAAAGCGATCAGAAAAGTAAAGTAGAGGGGAGAGACGGTGCGGCAGATACAGCGCTCTGAGTGCGCTTTGTATTTGATTTTTTTTCCTGAAATTCTGAAAGTGGAAGTTTGTTTTGCGGGAGGGGGGGGGAGTGGAAGAAAACAAGAAACCAAACGGAGGTGGTAAACTAGCAGAGGAGGATCTGCGCACCGGGACGGACAGGTAGGACAGATCAGACATACTGGACATGATCAGAAAGGGAACGAAAGGTGTTTAAATCTAGTCAAACGTTTTGATTTGCAGGTCGAGCAAATACTGCCGAGCAGTATTTCAGGGAAACGGCAGTTTTGTTTTGTTTTTAGCGACAGATGCCATTCTCTCCGGTAAAAATGGCAGGTCATCAGTGCTTTACATGTCGATACACATCACGCTCTGTAAGACACGTTTAAGAGCATCCGAATAAAATCCTCGGCTTTTCATTAAGGGACCAATGAAAACAAAATGACACCACGTGTTTGATAAATTTCTAACTTTTCTAATTGGCTCTCCGTTATTAACCTCCAGTTGGACAACAACATCTGTGCGCACGCAGGGAGATCCTCTTTTAAAGTTGTTGTTGTTTTTTTTTTTTTTTGAAAAGCACACTTCGCTGTAGACCGATTTATGCGCCGAATGAGGAGCTGGGGTCTGCGCTTTGAGAAGATACCAAACAATTTGTTTAAATACACACAGCACTGTACCCCTTAAATCCATAGTTTTTCTGAATGGAAAACGTGGCGATCTCGACGTACTTCAGGTTTACTGTGCAGAATCTACACACGCACACTCGTGTAATGTTTTAAAAGGCACATTTTGAGACGAATTGAAGACGCACATATCTCAGGAACGATGAGCTAATAGAGAGGGTTGTTTTCATCGTGCGTGTGTTATTTTCATGTGTTTATCGAGGGAGATTGAAGGTCGGATAAAAGGAGGGCGTTTGGTTTCAGAGTGGGCTGAACAAAGAAGAAAAGTGAAAGTCAGGCTCGCTTGTTGAGCTTTAGAAACTCATAAATCACAGTGATTGAAGGTGTGCTACCACCGTGAATTATATCTCAATTTTGAAACACTTGATTTTGCTAAATTCCAGCCTTATTTTACTCGGCTGCAGCCGGCAAAGGAATTTTATGAACGTATATTCGACCTCCAGAACAGAGATCAGTCACTCTCATGCAGAATATAATGAAAGTGATTGAATAACACCCAGCCTTTCAAACATGCTGTACAACCCCAGACCTATGATTTAGTCTAACATGGTTACATTTGTGCTGGTTTGACCTCCCCTCCGCTATTGATCGCAAGCAGGACCCCTCTTCCAAATAGGATTACAGGCATCTCTGAACTCACCAAATTCAGGTAATAAATGTTATTAAAGGACAGACCTTTGTTATTAAAGCACACCCTACTGTAAACTAGCAAGGTGTACTTAAGGTGTGAGCAGACACTCTTCTGCAGTCTTTAAAGCCTTGGTGGGAAGTTATGCTCCTGAAATGTCTGCTGTTGCCTTTATAAGTCCAGCTGGTGTTTCTGTGAGCAGACTTTTAAAAACAATTTCTTTCTTTCGAGTTTTTTGGGCACTTAATTTGCGGATGTACTCGCTGCTCCAACCCCATATTCCAGGGTCGTGTTTAATATTTTATCTTGCCTTGTCTTCTGGAACAGAGAGCTCTTGTCCTTGATTTCTTCACCTTACCTCTGTCGCAGGTACCTAAGAGCTTCAGTGCAGTTCACTGAAAATCTTTCGGGAGATGGAGAAAAGATTTTTTGGGGAAATTTTTTTGGCTCAACTCTTGAGAAATTGCAGGTAATTGCAGTATTTTAGTTCAAGAATTGGACAGTGAATGTGAAAAGCAAGTTAGTGGTGACCTTAAGAAAAGGATTTGACACCTTAAGTGGTAGAAAAATAACATCAAACCTTATTGTTTTGATGCATTGTGCTGTCGGTGTCTGAGATTAAATAGTTTGAGTCAATGAAGTTTGGTTGCATCTTTGTTGCGCACTCAAGGTGAGATGTGGTGACATTTGCTGTGGTCTGATTGTCTGAATGCACAGGCATACCCTTTAAAAAAATGCTTTTCATTTTATTTTAGGGTGTATTATCTACCAAGTATTACAAAGTATAAACAAATGAAAGAAAAAGACCCATGAAACCCTCAGACCCTTCATTGACTGTGATAAATGATGCAGAAAATTGTCACATATCTGCTTTTGAAAAGCTCAAACTGCACTTTTAAAAATGACTGAGAGGATAAAAACTATCACTTGACAGAATGGATGAAGACCATATTTATCTGGAACATGCAAGTATGTTTTGGTTAAGTGGATGCATGTCTGCCGTCAGCCTCGCATTATTTTTAGCTGCTGTTGCTGTGTTGCACAAATTGAAGTCATTCCCTGAGCTTCTACATTTCTTCTCGCTTTGTGGAAACTGAAGCTCTGCACAGTTCAGAGCGTTCACTGTATTCAGGTGGAGCTATTTTAGGTTTACTTCTATTGCGCAGCACTGTAAGCATTTGAAGCTTGCTTCGCTCTGAATGTGTGAAATTAAAGTCAAATAATTTTTCGATCATCATAGAGTTAAACAACCAGGCTGAAGATGAAGGTGGAGGTGTTTGCACAGATGCCTGCAGCATACTGTCCTCCTGCTGTTAGCTCCACAGATGGCTGCAGCTCCCTCTCAGCAGCAGCAGAAGAAGAGTTATTTTAGCATTACTGTAAGTTTATACATGAAGGGTCTTAGTTTTTGAAGAAAATATATCTGCGAAAGTGTTTGATTTTTCTGTCTCTGATGATTTGTCAGAGGTCATACATTTGACAGGTTAGCACTTCTCAGCTGCACTCAAAGTCACTATAAACGATTTAATCAAAGTGCATGATGATAAAATTCCCTTTTCCGCCCATTAATTTTTAGTGCATCTTTACTTCTTATAAGCCAGGACATGCCTCTGAACGCAGGTTTAGTCCATGCTTGCTTACTGCGTACTTAGCGAAGTGTCTTATTGAACTGCTCTCCAACTTGTGCATCCCAAAAATGGCAGATAGCGTGCACACAAGCAGCCTTTGACAAAACAGTTAAAATGATTCAATGACGCACAATCACACCCATGATTGATGAAGATCCAGCTGCTTCAACGGCATCAAGTCCAAATGTTTTGTTTTATTCTTGCTGCAGAAATTACCTGTAAATGATGCCTTCTTATATTTTCATTCTCTTGGATTCAGATGGTGCTTTAGCTTCATCAGGAGAAAAAAAAAGTATGAAAACTTTTTGAACATTTACTGTGCAAGTCTTAAAATTTAAATTCACAATATTTCTATTTAATCTGATGGGTTCGACTGCAAAGACTTGATCGGTTATAAAAGTGCATAAATTGGTGTGGTGTCGCTGCAGGATGTTTAAAGGATTCTAGCAAAAGTTGTTTATGTGAATGAATGTCAATTTTGTGTATTGAATGATGTGTGTTTATGCACACACACACACACACACACACACACACACCCCCGCATGACTGAATTTGTGCTGTGTATGCTTGTGTGTGTGCGTGTATCTCTTATATACTGAAAAGTGTGCTGTGTGTGTTTTCAGTTTGTGTGTGTATTAACAATTATCATGAGAGCCCTCAAACTGAAGATTTATCTGCAAAGTACGCTCTGTATAAGTGTGTGTGTGTGTGTGTGTGTGTGTGTGTGTGTGTGTGTGTGTGTGTGTGTGTGTCTGTGTGTGTGTGTACTTTCCAGGGAGTGCTAAGACTGAGGATCCAGCTGATGAAAGCTCGCTGGAGCTTCATAAAAGAACCTTTTGTCTAACAGTAGATTGTGTGTGTGTGTGTGTGTGTGTGGTTGCGTGTGTTTAACATCAAGTTAAATTTACACGGATATTAATAGAAAAAAAAAAGCATTCAAGCAGGTGTAAGTTTTGTTGCTGCGATGTACTTCTGGTTTTTGGAACATTGTGTAAACTCTCAAAGATTTGGAGGCTCAGTATTCATTATTGTTGGAAAAGCAGTTGCTTTATTCAGGTTAAACTTTCATCTAATGTTCTCTGAATTAACAAATATATGCAGTAAAAGAAGACAGTGGCTGGCTATCTTTAATAGCAAATTTCCTGAACTTGCAGACTGCCTCAGCATCCCCAGTATGCTCTGTCATTGGCTTCTGCACTAATTGGCACTCAATCAGCAATGAAGAGAATCATGCATTTAAAACTCTATAGGGTACAGCTGCCTCTGTATCTTACAACAAGGATGTACAGTTAGTTGCTTTTTGCTCTACAGCCCAGATGTACTAGTTGTATAGTGGCTTTAATTTAGCGTGTCACATTAAGTTTTTCTGTGTGCAAAAGTGGGAATAATGCTGTAAATTACTCTTTAATCGTATAAGAATCAGATCATGCAATCTGCTCAGTCGTTCAGGGTCAGGAAACTGTAGATTTGTGTTTTTTTTTCCAATGTTCAATCAATATCAACAGCTCATTTGTTGTAGTCGTTGTTGTAGTGAAAAAGTGATACAGCTGAAGGACTCTGATTAGAAAAAAAGGGGATCACAGAGTCTGAGTGAGGATAACGAGGATGATGATGGTGACTTTTGACCCTGTGAAATCGGGCATACAGCGGGCGGATGTGACCTGCTGCAGGATAGCCAGTTTTACGTAACCCTGTTTGAATTCATCCAAAATTTAAAAAAAGGAGGAAAAAATATAAATCACAACTTTGCATTACTGTCATGAAGTTCAGATTTAAGGGAAACAGGGAAATACAAAACCATTTCTGAAACTAGCAGATTTACGGGTTGGTGTGTTTTACAGCAGGAGTCAGCACAGATCAAAGTGGGCTTTTTTTTCGTTTGTTTGTTTGTTTTTTTTTACTTTTTTGCATGTCTTAAAATCAGCTGAAAATTCTTATACTTTTGCTTGATAAATCTGATGTGTTGTTTTTTTGTATGTTTGTCTGAAAATTGCCATCTGACTTATTCACAATGAAAATTTTGGAGTGGTGTCAAAAAAATGTCCAAACAATTATTTCCTTCGGTTTTGAGTTTTTGTCTCTGAATTTTAATTAATTACTAAATTTATCTTAAGTATATATATATCAATATCTATATCTATCTATATATATATATATATATAGATATATATATATACATATATATATTTATATATAACTTAGTGTATTTTTTTCTCAATGATCACTCATTTCATTCTGTAAAATTCAAAGAATATTGTGATTCCTTTAGTTGTTAGTTTGAAAATTAGGCTTAACTTTATCGTTTGGAGTTGAGATTTTTTTCTGGCAGATTTTGTATTTAAAATTGATTTTAATAATTGTTCTCATTTTTTTCCCCTCAATTATCACTGACTTTATGTTAAACATTCAGTGTAATTTAGGTTGCTTCCTTATGGCTCGATCTGAAGAGACTTCATTATTTTTTTTTAAGCTGTTTTTGTAGATTCAGGGGCAGGCAATGCAAATTTTTTTAGTCATTTTATTCAGTACATTTTTTTTTCTTGCAGACCCTTGACTTTTAATGGTCATTTTCGATAATAAGCTCGCTGAAATTCCCTGTAGATCTTCAGTTTTGATCACAGAAACTGTCCGTGTTTCCCTTTTTGTTTTTTGTTTTTTTTTTTTTGTATTGTATCAATAACTGTTGAAATTTGGTCCTTTACTGTTAAGCTCCATCTTCCAGGTCATGAGAGTTTTTTCTGCCACAGTGGCCTAAATGGTCTGTTGTAGATTGGCGGCAAATTCATGGTAAAATCAATTTGATTTTCTGCTGTTTATGGGTAAAGGCACATTTAATAGCAGAGAGTTTGTTGGAGTTCCTTTCACCAAAATACGTTCAAGTGGATCAGATATAAACTGGACACGCTGGTCATTTAGAGCTTTGCAAGTGCAGACAGATGCTTACTGTAGATAGAAGTGTATCAGATTTAACTGGAGAGCTGTGCCTATGATTGCTGGAGATACACAGCAATTAAAGTCTTTTTCTTTTTGATGCGATCTAAATTATGCTGCACAGTAACAACAGTCTATGATGGAAACAATGGTGCCCACAGTTTCCCTCTTTAAACAGTCAAAGTGTCAATGCTGTAAAGCTCTGAGATGGTATGTGTGTGGTGGATATGAATGTATGGTAGACTCATTTGTGCGATGGATAAAAAGTGTGTTTATTCGATCTTTCAAAGACTCACTGTGACGTCAGGATGAGCTCACCTCCTCCCTCTCTGTCATCTACACCTCCGTGCGCCTCCTGTGTTTGTGGTTTTAATGCTCCTGCTCACCTCACTCCTCTCCTCTGGGAGAACTTGCAGCCATCCTTTGTGATACTGAAAATTACTCCAATAACTCCAGTCAACAGTTTTATGCACATGCAAGACTGCAGAATATGCTGAATTTCAATGATGGAGCAGATTTATACTTTTACTTTTATACTTTTAAGAGGCTAGAAATAAATGTCTGCTACTTTTATTTCCCCTTGTGCTGCTCTTTCTTTCTTTGTTCTGTTAAATGAAGGCAGGGTGAGGTACTCCTGCTTACGGACAAATTAGCCCTTTTATTTTGCATTGGCACTTTTTAAAGCATTGGATATATTTATATTAAACATTTTGCGGTTAAACCCTGTTTTTGCATGCGACAGCTTATAATCTAAAATACTGAAAGACTATAGAGCATTACATTTTTCAAAGAATGAATTATGTGGTTACGTACTAAAAAAGTAAATGTAAATATATATTTTATCATGAGTTTGAAGTTACTTGTCAAAAAAATTATGTGGTTTGCATTTGCAGATATTTTTCCGAATGGTCAATCAATCAAGCCCTTATTTTTTGCCCATCGGTAAAAAAAGAGATGTATCAGGTGACTGTGACATCCCATAAAATTATAGTCTATGCAGTGTGAAAAAAGAAGCTGTCATGATTGTGAAAAAGTATTTTGATTGCAGTGTGATAACCTGTTTCAAGAAACTGATCAAGAAATTCTGTGAGCGATGTTGTGCATAGTTTTACAAGAAATGTTTAAAATTTAACATTTTGAAGTAAGACGTGATTTTCAGACTTGTCAGCTCAGCGCTACTTTAATCAAGTGTAAGTTAATTCTAGACTAGATAACATGTTTAAAAGTGGAGCCGATAATGTCAGAGTTTTTACAGTGTAATAAAGGAAATACTGTGTAAAGATTGTGTGAGACATTTGTCATATTTAGAAAATTTCATTTGTCAATCAGTCTGATCTTTACATGACAAACACATTTTAGCAGATACAGTGGTTAATTCATTGACCGCAGACAAGAAATCACATTGCTTTACCAAGTCCAGATATGAATTGTATTTCTGAATGGTGGGATTTTTTCGCTATAATCTTTCAGGAGGCAACATTTTCTAGGAGTTTTTATTTATTTATTTATTTTTATTTTTTCATTTTTTGTCAAGTCAAAACAACTTATCGTGAACATTTCGCAAATTCTTAATATATCGCTGGATGTAATTTTTGTCTTTAATCCCTTGATTTGTGGGGTAATTTGACTTTTCTGAAGTGCAATGATTTTTTCAACAAAAACCAAAATCTCAGCAGTGATGGAGATTCTGCGGTAAACCATGAATGAACAGAAAAAAAAGGGTAAACACATAACAAAAGAAAAAAAAAAAACAGAGGGTTGATTTTTGAAAAAAATAAGATTTGACACTTGACCTTGACCCTTTGAGTTAAAAGTGATATTTAATTTATCCATTCACAGATTTTTTTTCGATCCCTGCTTTTGACTTAATTTTTTTGTGAGGTTTTACAAGGATTTGTGGTGTGAATATGGTTTGAATTTATTGCAATCAGATAATTTGGCCATAATTAAGACAAACACACTCGCTGAGATTGGAATTTTTACAGTGTGTCAAAGAAAACAAATCATGCATGAATGTTGTATTTTCAAAAGAGACACTAAGATAAGATAAGATAAGAAGCACTTTATTGATCCCCTAAGGGCAATTCAAGTCTTGCACCTGTGAACTTGCTTTTACCAAACTTTTAGATAGATCTTCTCACTTATTTCTGATGAAAATATTTGATTTTACACGATATATGCCACACTCACCTGTAAGGTCCTCTGGTGGACTTAATCAGAGTGTGACACAGTAAAACTTTTTAAAGAGAAAAGTAATAGAAAGTAATAACCAATAGGCAGCTACCAGGAGAATTCAATGGTCTTGCATTTAATCTTGTTTTTGGAATAAGCTTTGTTTCGTCTTGAGGAGTCAAATATGCTTATACAAATATGCTTATAAGATCTGCTTTTTTGCAGTGCATCAAGCATTTACAACGCATTTTTCTACCTGATGCTGCAGGAGTGCGAAGTGTTTTTTAAGAGGACTAGTATGAGGACAGAGGACAAGGAAAATCCTGACAATGCACTCCTTCATACCTTGGGCTCTATTTTCGTGCGCGCCGGTGAGGCTGCAGAGGGCGGCGAGCCCCACGCAGTTGTATTTTCGTCTGGCGGAGCCTAGCGTAAGGCCAGTTTGGTATTTTCGTGGACTGAGCCGCATGGAGGCGAGCCGAGATCCGCCAAGCTGGGCGTGGTGGCGTGGCATGGGGAGGTGTTGACAGAATCAGCGGGCGCAGTGACATTTTCGTGCTCGCCACCGGCATGTAAAGTGCGCTGAAAGCTCGCCGATTCAAACCTGGTCAGCTTTCAGCGCAGGCGAAGCGCAGCTGGTCTAGTAGTATTTTGGTAGACCGACGGCGTATCGACATAGGTCACTGATGCCTCACCGGCAGGTTTCCACAGTGTCAGGCACATTTCAGTGCAATAAATAATCATCAACAACTATTAATCTGAGTCGGCACATACATTTAGATCTATATAGATATATTCTGATCTATATCTGATCTGATGAGCGCGTTTGGCATGCGTTTGGACACACAACCTGACCGAATAAACACAGCTGAAACCGCATTAAATTAAATTTAATATCTAGGAAATAGACACACATGATGAAGTTAACAAGATATGTAATTCGTCCCCCTCCTTTTCTTCCTTCCTCTTCCTCTTATTTCTCGCACAGCTCGACCTGGACACGTCTCCGTGTCCTCTGTCCGTCTTGCTGCTGCTGCGGCTGAACAGATGATTTGTTTCAGTGCTCAGATGAGTTATCTACATACGGATATTATAATATTCAGTTTTGTGGGCCAAATTTATTTTATATGCCAACATCTATGAAAGAAGAGCCAGGCCACGGAGCGCGATGCGTCATTTACGCACAGATGGTTCCAATTTTAATGCCATTTTTGGAGTTTATGTTGTGATCTGTGCGCTCAACCCACCTTTGTCACGTGAGGTTTGAATATATGCAACTTTATGTGAGTGTCTTTATTTGTGGAAAAGGGTGTTTGTCTTAACAGTGGGTCCAACATTACACACACCAAATCCATCTGTGCTCATACGAGAGAGTGTGGAGGACACCCAATGCAGCTTACAGTGACACTTGTTGAGGAGCTGCCCTCTGTCGCCATCTTGTGGCATAACTGTCTTCAGACATCTCTTGATCTCTTTGAATACTTCATGAAAATAGTAATAGGCCTCGCCTGTGGCGGATTTAAAGGCAAGGAGAGGAGCTTATGTGATTGGTGAAAACAGGTCTCGGCTGTGTTAAACCCACTCTCCGCCCTATCTCCTCCCTCGCTACGACTTAAACTGCTGGGAGGAGCTGAGTTAGGGAGGGGGGATACTTACGCTGGGCTGCGCGGCTCACCAAAATACCAAAATGTGCTTGGGAACGCCTTGTCAGCGCGGCGGATCTGATTGACGCTGCGCTTGCGGCACGTCTCCGGCGAGGCACGAAAATAGAGCCCCTTATGTTAACACCCGCAGATCGCTAAAAGATTGCTACACAAATATTCCGGAGTATAATAAATGTATTATTACAATTAAAACACCAATGAAGCTTTTGGTCATGAGGAGACAAAAAACAACAATACAGCCCTTTCAAGTCATCAGCTTCCAAGCACAGAAGTCTGTACGGTGTGTGTGTGTGTGTGTGTGTGCGTGCGTGCGTGTATGAGAGAGTGTGAGGGTTAGTGCCATTCTGCTCTTAGAGTGTGCTCCTGTAGCAGACTGACTGCTTACATTAATGCTCTCAAACACATTGGTCCTCATTTATCAATCTTGCGCGAATCTAAGCACAGGATTCATCGTGTGATAGGACACACGTGAGATTTATGAAAGGGTTTGTATCTGACTAATCCCAGCATACGTATGATCGGGTCTTGATAAATGCGGTGGCTGAAATCGATCGGCATTAACATGTCACGCCCTTAAATATTCATGGTTCAGAAGCCTCGCCCACTGAGGTTAAATATGAAATATTTGAAAGATTCCAAACTTTTCCGAGTTGAAAGTGGATATTCTCGCATCTGTGGTGGAAACTAACAAGGATTTGCTCTTTGGAAGCATCAAAACTGGTATAAAAGCAGTCCAGAAAACTCCTGTCTGGAGCAGGATTATGGTAGCGGTGAACAGCACTGCCACAGAATAGTGGACAGTGGCTGAAGTTTGAATAAATCATTGGTCAATAAATTGCTCATGATGATAAATTAATATCTCATACTTACCTCATATTTTTTATTGCCATGACATAGGGTATGTTCCTCCTATTATTGAAAGTATTTAGTTTAAATTTGTTGCGTCTTTGTAATGTAGAGCAATGTAAAATCATTATTAACCTCACCAAACGGTGTGTTGCTGCCCCCGAGGCACATTTTTATGGATTTCTATTTGATTTTTATCACTGAATAAATAGCAAGAGCACTTTCTAAACTTTTACTTTACATGTCAGAATCCATCGATGAGGTCCTGCACTTATGTGGAGTCTCTCCTCGTTATTGTTCTCCGGGCATCGGGTCCTCACGTTGCACTGACACAGCCAACGGCACTCCATTGGCCAGTGCAACATTGTGCAAAACTGTAATGGCTCAAATAATGTCCCACACCCTTTCAGGAGTGTACAACAACGTCCACGCTGCTGGGCAAAGACAGAGCTACCTGCCTTTTAGGAGTCAAACGCAGCGCTCCACAGTGGCGTGTGTGTGTTGTGTTAAAACGGCGCTCCTGCTCTGTGGCAGTGTTTCTGGGCAGAGTTATCAAATAGGCCTGTTCACTAGGACATAACAAATTTATTTTATTTCATTTTATTTACGTCTTAATCTTTAATGAAATCTGTCTGAATGTACTTGATGACAGGTTTGCTGCACACTGACTCAAACTTGCATACACGATGTCAGACCTGTCGTGAGATTTGGTCATAGCGTACGCTCACGTGCAGATTGATAAATGCCGATCCTCACGTCAAAATTGTCGTACGCAAGTTTTCTCCCGTACGCAAGCTTGATAAATGAGGGCCATTCTCTCTCTCTCTCTCTCTTACACACACACACACACACACACACACAGATGAACAGATGCACTTGCAGGCAGGTTGATGACATAAAGCGTCTGCTCACTGCTCACTCAGGCTAAAACTCGACATGTTGTTTTGTCTGTGTGAAGTTTCTCAGTGATTCAGGAGTATCAAGGGGCACAGGAAGTAAACAAGGCATGAACATACATGTTGGCGTGTACATGTGTGCAGCAGAGGATGCAGCCACGTCTGCAGCCACGTCCTGCTTTCATCCTCTGTTGGTCTTTTCCTCGGCTCAATCGCTGCCTCTTACACCTGAACATCAGACATGCTGCCGTGGTCTGCAGCCTTATCTGGAGCAGGTTTAAAATAATATAAGACTTGGTTTAAATCAAAGTATAATTAACAAATGTGCCATTTATAGGTAATGAAAAGAAACATTTTTGACAAATTATTGCAAAATTGTGAGAAATTAAAGAAAAATAAATGAGAAATTTCTGCCTTTTGTATACTAACAGTATCTGCACAACAACCCGAGTGAGGCAATGCATCAAAAAGTCAAGGACAATGAGTTCTTTGCATTTTGGCTGAAAAAAACTCCCATCACCCATCAACACAGCATGTAAGAGGCCGAGATTCGTGGGGGGCGCCCTCCGCTGGCTTACAAGTCCAGCTCTTCAAGAGTATGTGTGTGTGTGTCTGTGTCTGTGTTTGTTTGACTTAAAGTTCTGAACCTCAACATTTTGAGCTACATGTTTGGTTCAGTTCCCAGAGCTTCGGGGATAATTCTTCTTCATCAGTTAGTTGCGGAGTGCAGTTTCCAAATTTGGTAACTGGGCTGGCAGCTTGAAAGGTGCTTGTTCATATCCTGGACACTGCTGAGGTGCCCTTGAGCAAAACACTGAACCCCCAACAGCTCCTCCATGCACAAGCCTCCTCCCTTGGCATCTCTGCATTAGTGCATGATCACAGGATCCTTTTTTTGAAATTGTGTGTGTGTGTGTGTGTGTGTGTGTGTGTGTGTGTGTGTGTGTGTGTGTGTGTGTGTGTGTGTGTGTGTGTGTGTGTGTGTGTGGTATATTTCATCCTGATAGATGCTCTGCACATGTTGCCAGGCACTATGAATGTAAAATGGCTTTTGTAATCATCTCTGAGGCTCTAAACTTGAGGTCTCACAGAGAGCCTCTGTCTCTGTGGCAGGGGATCCACTTGACCATATCTCATCTGTCTATAAATTATGTTGTTTGGTTAGATTAGGTATCTTTTAGTCATGCTTGTTCACAAAACACACATTGGTGCTTTGAAACATTGATTCTAGCAGCAGCAGCTGAACATTGTCGCTCCTCACATTTTCACTTGTACCTGCAGAAATCGAGACAGTGATATTGTCCCATTGAGGAGTGAGACACTGGGCTCTATTTCCATGCCCACCAGTGGTGCAAGGTGGCACTTGTGCACATCCATTCAACTTTTTAATTTAAATTGTGAGTTTCAAACAAAACTTTTTTTTTTGGTTATTATGGAAAAAGTTTATGTGGGATCTTTGCTGCTCTTTTGAGCTGGTACACCTATATTAGTTTGTGAATGTAAAATAGATTTGTCCTAAAACAGGAGCAAAAAAAGTGCTCCTTCATTGCAGAAGCTGCTGGTGATGTGCAGCCACAGGAAGGCAGAGCTCCAAGGTGCAAGTAAGACCTTAGTGGAAGAAAAAAAAAAAACTTTTCCTCAACTGCAGAGACACATTTCCTGGAACCTCCTGCCTTTTTCTTTAAACCTCTGAATTTACTGCCAAAATCAATCACATTGAAGAAGTTTAATAGCAGAACAGCACTACTCAGACCACACCTTTGTCACTTTGATTCACTGTAAGACTGAGTGCTGTTTAAATGCAACAGAGCAGCTAACTGCATCATCAAACTTTATAAATATAGTATTCGCAAAGACAGAGTGCCACTTTGGGTTTGGTCTCCCTCCCTGGTTCTCCTTGGTTAGATGGTGTCCATTTGTCCTTGACATCAACTTCTAGTTCACCTGCAAAATCTAATTTCTAGTTGTTGTTGTTGTTTTTTTAAATTATTATTTTTTAACCACGACAGCTGTAGCTGTGTTGAGTTTTTGAAACCTGTGGTTACATGTACACTACAGGCCAAAAGTTTGGAAGCAAGATCAGATTTGTACAAAAAAAGATCATGGTTTCATATATATAATTTGCAACACAATAAACATGATTATTGTGTAAAGAGTAACTTATCAGAAGACATTTTGACTGTAATTATTAGGTATTTGAGTTATTGTTGCTTAGACTTTGCTTCCTTTAAAGTAACCTCCTCTGGCTTTAACAACAGCTTGGCATATACCAGGCATTCGTTCCACAAGTTTTTTTAAGGTATGTTCCAGGGATTGCATTCCAAGCTTTCTTAAGTTCATTAAAAAGAGACTGCTGATTCGTGGGACGCGTTTTTCTGACCGATCGATCCAATTCATCCCGCACAAGCTCAATTGGAGAAAGGTCTGGAGACTGAGGGGGCTAAACCATTTTTGAAGAACACCTTCCTCTTCTTTGTTGTCAAGGTAACCCTGACAGAGCTTGGCAGAGTGCTTCGGGTCATTGTCTTGCTGCAAAACAAACTTATGAGCCTCAAGTCTGAGTCCAGATGGAACAGCATGGTGCTGGAGTATGGAGTGGTACTGTTCCTTCTTCATAATACCCTTTACTTCAAACAAATCTCCTACTCCATCACCTGCAAAACATCCCCATACCATGGAACTACCACCTCCATGCTGAATTGTGGGTGTAACACATGGTGCTTTCAGACGTTCACCAGTTTGTCAGCGGACATAGACTCTGCGTTTTGAACCAAACAGTGGAAAGTTGTTTCTAGTCAAGTCCAATTTTTGTGAGTTTTTGCCCACTCATATCTCTTTTTCTTGTTCTGTGGACGAAGTAGTG